GTCTGTTCGATCCACGCACTGACAGACTTTAAAAAAAATAAAAAATAAAAATCCCAGTTTGTTTGAGGTGAGGGAGCAGAGGAGCTGGAAGGGGCCAAAGCACCATCCTCACTGCGAGGGGCTGGGGGTCCCTGGCTCTGGGGGCTGCCCAGCCCAAAATCCCAGCTTCATTAATTAAGTCATGAAACCCCGATCTGGAACCGGTGCAGAATTAACTCATTTTAATCTGTTTTATTTCAAATGAAGCTGGATTTACGTGGAAGGCTCTGAGCTACCCAGCTCTTGGGCACGGAGCAGAAACACCTCCGGTGGCCAAGGGACCCCCAGGAGAAGGGGAAGGGACCGGGGGGGGGACAAAGCCCCAGGTGGGAGCCAGCAGCAGGGAGGGGGCTGTAAAAGGACCCCCTGACCTCCCCCCAGGTGACAGGGCAGTGACAAAACCAGCCCTTTCTCAGCACCCAGAGGCACAGGAGGGTGCGAGGCCACAAGGAAGAGCTGAGAAGGGCAGAGCTCCTGGGAAAGCCCCGTCCAACAGCCCTTCCTCCCCACACCCCCTGCTCCCCCAGCGCCTGCACAACCTGCAGAATGACCTGGAGGATCCCCCAAAATGCCCAGGTTTGGGCAGAGCAGCACGGTGGCACCAGGGTGGGGTCTGTCTGTGTCCCCCCCGAGCCACAGCTGGTGGCAGGAGCTGAGCCAGGCTCCCAAAAACACGGAAAACAGCCCAGTTGGGTGGTGTGTGTGCAGGGAAGCAGCAGAGAGGGGCAGCCCAGCACCAAGCCACAAGGAAGGGACAGGTTTTGGTGCAGCTGCTGCCACCTCCACCTCGGGATAAGGTCCCAGCTGGGCTGAGCTTCAGTGAAAAGGAGGGAGCAAGGAATAAAAGAGCAAGAAAAACCTCTCCTGCCACGAGCACATCCCTTCCTCCTGCCTCCCTGCTGACCCCAGGACATCACCCAAGCCCAGAGCCTGAGTTTAGTTCCACCAGAACTCACACAAAACGTGCAGTTTTACCCTCTGTGGTGCCTCAAAACCATTGGCATGGAAGTTCAGGATCCACGGAGCTCACCCAAGGCACACGTGTGTCTGACCACGACACCTACAAGCCTGGAGCTGCAGTCAGAGGCTCTCAGTAGCCACAATCCACTCTCAGTAGCCACAGAAACCTACCTGAACTGGCTCCTCCAGGACCCCGCTGCAGATGGGGCATATAAGGTCTTCATCAACATCCCCCTGAAAACGTGCTACATCATACCCCATCGCTCATCACCGATGCCAGAACCCTGGGGAGGGAAGAAGAAGAGGAGGAGGAATTAGTCCTGGGAGGTCTGGCCAGGACAGGTCCCAGCCCTCACAGCATCCTTGTTCCCAAATCCCTGCTCTCTCCTCCCAGTGGGACCAGTTGTGGTGGCCCTGGGCACGGCTGGAGCTCACGGCCAAGGGTGTGGGGGGAAACGGTCTCAGCCCTCTTGGCTGCTCAGTTTTGCTGGGATCCCTCCCTCTACACCAGTTATTACTAATCCCACTGCTGCCCTTCTGCTGGCTGGTTGTTGGAGCTCCATTTTATCATAGAATCATAGAATTGCCCAGGCCAAAAGGGACCTCCAAAGGGCATCTCGTCCCACCCCCCCGCAGTCAGCAGGGACACCCCCAACTAGACCAGGTTGCCCCATGGAGCCTCCCCTTGAATATCTCCAGGGAAGGGGCCTCAACCACCTCCCTGGGCAACCTGTCCCAGTGCTCCACCACCCTCCCAGTGAAGAACCCTCTCCTCATCTCCAGTCTCAATCTGTTCCCCTCCAGCTTGAAGCCATTGCCCCTCGTCCTGTCACTGCAGCCCTTTCTAAACAGGCTCTCCCCAGCCTTCCTGTAGCCCCCCCTCAGGTACTGGAAGGCTGCTCTTAGGTCTCCCCGGAGCCTCCTCTTCTCCAGGCTGAACAACCCCAGCTCCCTCAGCCTGTCCTCGGAGCAGAGGTGCTCCATCCCCCTCCTCATCCTCATGGCCCTCCTCTGGACCCTCTCCAGCAGGTCCATGTCCTTCTTCTATTGAGGGCTCCAGCCCTGCACACAAGACTCCAGGTGAGGTCTCACCAGAGCAGAGCAAAGTGGCAGAATCCCCTCTCTGGACCTGCTGGCAACGCAGCTTTTGATGCAGCCCAGGATGGGATTGTCCTTCTGGGCTGCAAGTGCCCACTGCCTGCTCCTGTCCAGCTTCTCCTCCACCAGCACCCCCAAGTCCCTTTCCTCAGGGCTGCTTTCCAATCCCTCACCCCCCAGTCTGTACTGATGGTGAGGATTGTTCCAGCCCAGGTGCAGAACCTTGCATTTGCTCTTGTTGAACCTCATGAGGTTCACCTGGGCCCACCTCTCCAGCTCTCCAGCCTGTCCAGGTCCTGTCCATTTTCTCTGGTTTGGAGAGGAGGGGACAGCACAGGGGCACCTCAAAGGGGTGAGCCCTGTCCCGGGGGCTGAGGGGTGGGATGTGGGCTGAGGATTGCTCCTGGGGGAGGTGGGGACCTGCCGAGGAACCGGCTCCTTCCTCAGGGACATCAGGCTGCAGGTATTGTCCCCCCCTGCCATCCCCAGCTCCTCTCCCACTCAACCGAGCAGACACAAAGCCAAGATGCCCATTCCTGACATTCCCAACGGCCTCACAACGTCTGCCAGAGCCCGACCTTGAACCCTGCCCCGACAACGAGCAGTTCCTCTGGGTGTTTGTCCCCCAAGAGCCAGCTCTTCCTCTCCTGTTCCCACCAACATCAAAGCCGGCGACAAACGGCCGGGGCCGCACCGATCGACACCGCGCTCGACTCCAGATAAAGGAGTCCCCACCCCACCAGGAGGGCCAGGAGGTGTGTGAGGGCACGTGGGTGCTGCACAAGGCTCCAACCCAACGGTGGAGACCTTCTTGCTCTCTCCAACTCCCTGAAACAGGGGTGTAGCCAGGGGGTTGTCGGTCTCTTCTCCCAAGGAACAGGAGGAAATGGCCTCAAGTTGCACCAGGGGATATTTAGGATGGATATTGGGCAAAAATTCTTCATGGAAAGGGTTGTGAAGCCTTGGAAGACCCTGCCCAGGGTGGAGTCTCCATCCCTGGAGGGATTTAAAAGCCGGGCAGACGTGGTGCTGAGGGACACGGGTCAGCGGTGGGTTTGGCAGTGTTGGGTCGATGGTCGGACTCGACGATCTGAAAGGTCCCTTCCACCCTCAGCAATTCCATGAGACCCAACCATCGGTGTGAGGAGGAGATGGCAGCACCTCCAGCTGGGCCAGCCCCAGCAGCATAAGCCCACTCTGGAGGGCAGGCAGGAACTTGCCCCTGCTGCTGCTCCGTGGCCAGATGTGGCCACCCAGCCCCAGCCAGCGTTGCCGAGCTGATGGACACCACCACGTACCTCCTCCCTTGGTGGCTGGTGGCTCCAGAGACACAGACAAGCAGAGCTGGTGGTGGAACCCATGGTGTCTGCTCAGCTATTGAGGGAGGAGAGGAGGAGATGGAGGGACAGAGGGGGAGGTTGGGGGTAACACAACTGCCCCACGGTTGGCCCTTGGGACCCTCCCCACGGCAAAGGGCAGCAGGGAGGGGACAGAGTGTATCCTCAGCAAGTTTGCTGATGATCCCAAACTGGGAGGGGTGGCTGACACCCCAGAGGGGCTGTGCTGCCATCCAGGGTGACCTGGACAGGCTGGAGGGCTGGGCAAGGAAGAACCTCATGAGGTTCAACAGGGAAAAGTGTAGGGTCCTGCACCTGGGGAAGAAAAATGTCAGGTACCAGTAGAGGTTAGGGGTGGACCTGCTGGAGGCAACTACTGAAGAGAAAGATCTAGGGGTCCTGGTGGACAGTAAAATGACAATGAGCAAACAAGTGTGCTCTTGTGGCCAGGAAGGCCAATGGTATCTTGGGTTGCAGAGGGAAGAGTGTAGCCAGCAGGTCAAGGGAAGTCATTCTCCCCCTCTACTCTGCACTGGGGAGGCCACAACTGGAGTACTGTGTCCAGTTCTGGGCTCCCCAGTTCAAGAGGGACAGGGAACTACTAGAAAGAGTCCAGCGTAGGGCAACAAAGATGATTCAAGGATTGGAGCATCTCCCTGATGAGGAGAGACTGAGAGAGCTGGGACTCTTTAGTCTGGAGAAGAGAAGGCTGAGGGGAGACCTTATCAATGCCTACAAGTATCTCAAGGGAGGGTTGAAGGAGGAGGGAGCCAGACTCTTTTCAGTGGTTCCCAGTGAGAGGACGAGGGGCAACGGGCACAAGTTGGACCAGAAGAGGTTCCACTCAAATATGAGGAGAAACTTCTTCACGGTGAGGGTGGCAGAGCCCTGGCAGAGGCTGCCCAGGGAGGGTGTGGAGTCCCCTTCTCTGGAGATCTTCAAGACCCTCCTGGATGCTCCTGAGTAACATGCTCTGGGTGGTCCTGCTTTGGCAGGGGGGTTGGACTAGATGATCTCTATGGTCCCTTCCAACTCTAAAAAATTCAGTGAAATTCAGTGAAATTCAGTGAATCACCTCGCTGGACGCCGGGACAGCCAGACAATAAACCAGCCCCACGTGCAGATGGATTTCTTTGCTTCCACAGAGCAGGCAAAAAGACAAAAGACTCCTCTGATGGAGGTTGGGGCGGGGAAAGTCCCTGCCGTTGAGTTTGCAATTCAGATAACGAGATTAACGGCTGGAAGGAGAACGGATCTGGGAGCAACCAGAATTGGCTGCTCTTAAACCTTCCCACGCCCTTCGGAGAGATGCCGCTCCCCTCCACTGGGAAGGGCCCCAAATTCCTTCCCCACCCCTCCAGGAGCTGCTCACACTCTGAGTCCTGGCACCTTCGCCACATTTACAACGGGCTCAAAGCATCTGGAAGGGCAGAGGATGGAGCACAGCAGGTCCCAGGTGCCACCAGGAGCCAGAGTGGCTTCACTTTGCAGCTGGGACCACTCTGACCTTCTCCCTTGGCCACCAGTGCGTGTCCCCATCTCAACACCTCTCCAAACACAGGAGCAGCTCCATGAAGAGCCTTCCCACCCCTCCTGCACGGGCACTCGGGGATTGAATAGGGCCTGGCTCCTCCAGAACCACATTCCCCAGCAACTCCACTTGGTCTCTTCCTTCCAAATTCCACCAAACAGCTGGGGCAGGACCCTAAACGTCTTCACATCCCCTCAGGAAGGAGCCCAGCAGAGGGTAAAACACCGGCTCCGAGCGCCAGCCCTGCCAGCTGCCAAACAGAAGGCGCATCAAAACCTCCTCCAGAAAGATTTCAGCACCTGCACGAGCCTCGGCGGCTCCAAATTCTCCTCGTTCCTCATCCCAGCTGGTCCCAAATCTGCCAGCAACAGCCTGGGGGGGGGCTCTGCCAGCACCTCCCACCGTGAAACAGGAGAGCCCAGAGCATCTGCAAACCTCCAGCCAGCCAGGGCTGGCAACCCAAAATCCCTCTCCTGCCAGATCCAGGGGGGGAATGAACAACCTGGACATCCCTGTTCCTCCCCGGGCTCCATAACCTGCAGAACGGCCCCAAAAAGGAATCGTGGGGCTCGTTGGAACCAGCCCCACGGGCACAGCGTGGCTCATGGGCTGTGGGGATCCATCCTGCGCTGAACCAGGAGCACCAAGAGCTTCCAAAATACTTCTCCTGGAAGGGCTTTGCAGGGTCACCCAGGTGAAGAGGAGCCAAACCATCCACACAGACAGGACAGGAGGTGTGTGGGGGGGAGAGAAGGCCAAGCAGGAACCCAGGGAACCCTCTGCTTCAGGAAATTGCTTCTGCCACAAACAGCATCCACCACCTGTGATTATCCTCGATTTGAGGCAACGAACTTCCCAAATCCTGCCCTCTCCAAACACGCTGGGCTTCCTGACCCCGGCACCATCCGCCTCCCCGGGGGCTTGGGCAGGGAGGGGGCAGCTCGCTCAGATCAGAGGCCAGTCCCAGAGCCAGGCTTTAGCCCAAATTACAGAGAAAAGCTGGGATAAGTCACTTTTTCCCCTCCTCATCACAGCTCCTGCCCTTGTGTTTTTGTAGATTGTCATCTCCTTGGCCCCGGGGACTCGGGGCCCTGCTAACCCCGAGAGATCTGCATAGCAACAAGGGCTGATGCTATCAGGGAGGATCAGTAATTAACAAATCAAAAGCACTTTGACATCCCTACACTTACCCAAAGCCTCCTCCATCCACCAGCCCAGACAAAGGTTCCTAACGAGCCCTTGGGGGAATAGAGGAGGGGAGGAAGGAGGGGAGGAAGG